GCAGTTTCTAGCACTTGGGAGAGGCCATGTTTTCCATGCGGGGAAAGGCGCATAACTGTTGCGGTCTGTGTACCAATGGCAGGAGTAGGGGGCGTTGGGAGACCATCGTCCGGGGTAACGTAGTTCCTCGCGTTCCTGTCTTCGCCTTGGCCTTTCTAATAAGTGCGGCCGTTGTGATCCGCTGTGATAGCGACGGGTTTTTTGTGGTGGTAGGGTTTTTCTCGCNAGGTATCATTTCATCCGAGGATTGTTTAGGTCGGGGGATATTTCGGTCAAGTTTGTTCCGACAACGGAGCAACACGCGGACCTCCTTACCAAGGCCCTTAGCAGGGTCAGTCTGCAGTACCACCGGCGCAAGCTGATGAATTTGCCGGAGTAGATGTAGCAGTTTTTAGCACTTGCCTTGGATTTTTTGGTAAGTGCGGCCGTTGTAAGCCGCTGTGATAGCGACGGTTTTTTGTGGTGGAAGGGTTTTTCCTTGAGGGGTTTTGCCCGGACGCCGGGTTTCCCCTCCATATGTTACCATGTTGGTATTTTCTGATGTATCCAGGGACGTTCTTGCCCAATTGATGGTTATTCACTTGCAACAGGGTTTTCGCCTGATTGAGAGCGGAGTATACGATTGATAGCGGGNTCGGATGCTGCAGCTAGGAGCTAGACAAGTTGCTAGATTTCCCCAGATTGGCTATTCCTGCCTCAAACTGTTTCAGGGCGATTTGATCGCGGGCGGTGAGCTCTGCTGTAGATTCTGTTCCCCGCTGTAGCTCCACAACGAGAGACGCCCACAGGATGACCAGGGTATCGGCTTGTAGCTACGGGCTAGGCCTTCAATTCAAGCCACGCAGCAAGCTCCACCTCTCAGCGGTAGTCCAGCTAAACCGCATCGCGCAATCTCGCTCTCAATCAGAAACTTCGCTCTCAATCACACGAAAACCTTGTTTTGCGTGAAGAACCAGGGAGGGTGTTCGTGGGTCTGCGAACATTGTTGGATACATGTGCTGGATGATTTCGTGTCACGCAGACTGGTAAGATTACCGTTTGATATGGGGCACCGCCATGATTCACGGGGCCCCTCCTTGCTGTGGGAGCCGCTCTTTGAGCACTCCCTCTTTCGTCCGTGTGAAGGACGGTCGTCGAACTCTCGTAAAGTTAATACATCACCAAAACAGTCTCACCCGATAAGTAAGTGTCGTAGGCCGCAAACAGAACGTACGATGGCATCCACCCCTCCCTGTAGTACAAAAAAAATGTCCGTTTCGTTTTCGCGAATAATAATTGTTCGCCTGCGCGATCGCTCGCCCCGAAAGTCCACGAGCAAAAACCCTGGGGAGATGAAAAAAGCTGGGGGCTCGCGTCCGTCCCTCGCCGCCCCATTTTCGAAGCATTCAATGCGCACGGCCTACTTTAATAGCATCCGAACCAATGACTACTACCTCGCGCGGCCTCCCGGGGGCGTCTACGACGTGTCGGTCTTGCTTCTCCCAAAACCTTCACCAAGTACTATGTACATATGTACCGTTCATGCCAGGTGCCATAGGGATAGATGCGTTGTACAGTTCATGAGGGTAAATCCGTCAACACCCTGACTGAGGGTTTGACGACCTGCCTATCATACTCACCGTGATCGCTCGGCGACGTCCAGGACGAACGGGAGAATAAGCGCCGAGTTAATCCGGGACTTTGCAAGCCGTAAAAGCGGTGGTGAGTATGAATGGTGCGTCCGAACGAACACAATTCATTCCGAGGCATTACGCAGATGTGTCGGACCTTTCAATGCTCCATTCCCTCTCGAATATTCGCTCCAGGTGCAACAATACTTCACAATTCCAAAATGCGGTTGAACTTTTTTTACTGGTAGTGATTCGATAAGGGTCGCGCATATGCCTGAACGAAGGAAAGTATTTTGGCATTTCCACCTAGCCATGTTTAGCCACCATAGTTACTGCTCCATCCATATGACTTGGCACACCTCCAAGAAGGCATGAGGAGCACGTTGCGGGTACTACTGTATATATGTGTTTCTAACAATTCCGAACCTGTGGAGGTTGCCGCTGGTGAAATAAGCCAGAACATGAGCCGCAGCCATTGCTCGGCATCGATACACCCAAAGCCTTTCACTTGTGCTGCGTTGGTTGCTTGATTGCGACACAGAGCGTTGTGCACGAGCCTTCTCGTTAGCCCGCCGAGAGAGGGTCAGTGACGGTCCTGGATGCAGAGACATCATTTGCGATTTAATCTCGCTGCAAGCCCAAACCAGATTTCAAACAGTTTAGCCTTCATTTGTTTACACAGTGGTATTTTTTTGTACCTCCGGAAAAAAAAACTCCACTGTTTACTATGCCATGAGGTAAGAGGTTTGCCGGGGTACATTCTGTAACACTCTCCATCATGATCAGGACCGCGAACGGATGAGCGATGTTTTTTCCAAGCAGGGTTCAGTCGTGCGAGGCGCATTATTCCTTGCGCACAGGAAGTTCATTTAGCCGGACAAAGATGCTCACATCATGGACCGAGTACTCATCTTGCAACACGGTACATGCACAACAGAGATGGCGCCATTGATGCCCGCCCTCTAAAACACTGCCTGGTGTTGACACTTCGTTACTACTCCGGAGTGTTTGTTTTTTGCCCTCCGACATTAATTGCAGATAGATGTGTCCCACGAAAACTTCACTCACTCGATGTGTAGTCATACTTGACCTGATTACTCTTTACTGACACACGCATGCTCTAATGCCTAACCGATATTTGAAGCGATTAAAAGCAACTTCGAACTGGTATTGATGTTAGTTAGAAATCAACATATGCAGTAGTAGTAGACACTCCAACCTTCAAAGATCGACGACGACGCATCAAACTATCCTCCCACTACTGTTGTTCCTCTCGCTCGACGTATAGCTCAAAAGCTTTCCTGAAGATTCCTACGTTAGTCAGCGTGGGGTCTGCCCACGACCCTTCTAGCGGGACCCACAACTCTCCCAACTCCGCGATTGCAAACAGAGGAGCCATCTTGTTCTGCTCCCATGTCATGTTTCCCTCGCATCCTGTAGAAAACAATTTGATTCCCTTGCTCAAGATTCCCGCCAGTTGACCAAAGGCACTGCATCCCATTACTACCGCATCGGCTGAAATCATGGACATAAGAGACTGGACAACGTTTCCGCCGACGTTGAAGATGATGGGCTCCCCGGGTACTCGGAAAATGCCAGTGTGGTGAGGATAGCAAAAGTCGCCGCCAGCTTGCTTTTCTGGGCAGTCATCAGGAGGTCTAGCGGAGTGGCACTCCCGAATCTGCGGTGCGACAGCGAAACAAAACATGGCGGCAGCAGAACGTTGCAGCAGGACGTTGTTGTTGTTGTTGTTGTTGTTGTTGTTGTTGTCGTTGTCGTTGTTGTTGTTGCTGTTTTGTCAGAAAAAACGAACGGTGCGTGCGTGCGTCCATCGTGTACGTTTGGATTGGTATGGAAGATGTGGGTCGTCGCCCACACACATGGCGTGTGTGTGAAGGTTTTGTGAAGAGAACATCCATCCCCGTGCAAGTTTGTGTGTTGTGCTGCGACACGCGTCCTCCATAGCGCTCCACGCGATACGCCTCTTTTCTTCTACGTACTACATAGTAGCGACCTCTTCGGGCTCTGCACCTTTCCTCACGTCAACCGCACACTACTACTACTCTGTAGAATGCCGTGCAATACTCACCTCGTCTGGCGCTACGGCCCACTCTGGAAACTCCGGGAAAACTCCGTCTTCCAGCGACGGGCATGGGAGCTCTGTCTCCGAGAATATGTGGAACAACGGTGTGCGTTGGCCAAGTCCATGAACTTCCTTAGCGATGACCTTCATAAGTTGAATGAGATTATCACGTTCCGATTTCAAGACCTCGCGTGCTATCTTCGCTCTGTCACCAAGCCGAACGTGCAACGCGATGTTGAGGCGCGAGCTATCGAACGAGCGTCTCCACCTGTAACAAACGGAGAGAAGTATGTACAAAAAACAGGGTAGGAAGTGTTTTTAGGAGGACGGAGCGTGCTGCGTTGTCAGGGAAAGCGAACATGTTCGGTCGCTTTCCTGCCACAACATCCCCCAACTCAGTCAGTCATCATATTTCCCCCAGCCTTTCGCTTGCTTACTTGTGGCTTTGTCGGCCAGAACTGCTCCGGAGTAAGTATCGGACAAGCCAGTTTCACGTGACGACCACAACAAACGACCCAACGTAAGTAGTATGCAGCCTTTATTCAACACAATTTTATGGTTTATGGCAAAAAACAGGCGAGAAGGCACAGAAGAACAGGACAAGGGGGGGACTTACCGCGGTCGGTTTGAGTGAAAGTGGTGCCTGAATTCTTTCAGGATGTCTCTCGCGTGCCGCCGTTTTTCTGCATCCCATGACCCAACGTTTGTAGCGTATTCCACGGCTGCCTGGGGGTCCAGCGTAAGCTGCAGCCGGTCCCATGGCACGTTTTCTATTCCTGTCGCTTGGGTTTCCTCTGTGATGGCCACGATTGGTGCCGGGTCCCAAGGGTCAACCTGAGTGAAAAAGGGTTGAAACGTTAGGACTTCATGCCACCAAGGTCCTTGTAGAAATTCTCCGTAGTCGGTGTACATGCCACCAAGGTGTCCAAGCTCATTCCACGCTGCTGCAAGACGGTATAATTATTGTCAACAACATATTCGCCTGATTGAGAGCGAAGTATCTGATTGAGAGCGAGAGCCAAAAAAATTGAAATTTCGGGTCCAGACGCCTCTTGCCATTTCTTGGCAAGTAGGGGACGGGCTATTCCAAGAAGCGGTGCAAATTGAAGGTCTCATCAGCAGCTTCGCGAGCATATGCGTGTCATCGTCATCGGATGCTGCAGCGAGGAGCTAGACAAGTTGCTAGATTTGCCCAGATTGGCTATTTCTGCTCAAACTGTTTCAGGGCGGTATCGCGTCGGGCGGTGGGCTCTGCTGTAGCTTCTGCTCCCCGCTGTAGCTCCACAGCGAGAGACTCCCACAGGATGACCAGGGTAGCGGCTTGAAGCTACAGGCTAGCCCTTCAATTCAAGCTACACAGCAAGCTCCACCTCTCAGTGGTAGTCCGGCTACAGCGTATCGCGCACTCTCGCTCTCAATCAGATGCTACGCTCTCAATCAGGCGAATATGTTGTTTGTCCTGGAACGGCCGGTCTATCGCCGTCTACCTCGCCTGATGCGTTGAACGTTGTTTACACACGTACTTCTATATATACGTACGTTACGTAGGTCGTCTTACAAACATGTCCGTCCGTCCGCGCATTTTCCTGCCTACCGTCGTTTACATAATAATAGTAATTCACATATTTTTGTGTCAAGTCACTGCTTCTACATAGTAGTCCATTTTGTTATTACCTCGACAACTCGTGTAATCCCAGTGGAGGGTGGCAAAACCGAGTGCTGATCCATGCGGAAGAAGTACAGCCAAGTCACGTTTGTACAGCGACGTCTCTCCGTGCCCTGCTCCAGTGGGGCGGTCGCGTTGAACTTGAACACGTACTCTGTTCTGTGACAGTACAAGCCATGGTCACCTCTCGACAGTTGGGTGACATCCCCCTGGTTGAAGTCCGGAGCGATCCAGTCGCAGCCTAACTCCTTCGCATACAGCCATGACGACATGTGCCGAATCGTCGAGCTACCAACGCCGTCGTACGTCACCTTTTCCTTCACCAGGCAGGGCGTTCCTTGGCTTCGTAGCGAGGTGGATAGCGACTGAAACACTTCCCGGTCGGGGTAGCCATGATCAAGAACGTCGTGGTGTGAGGTTAGAACCACCCCACCTCGCGTACCGGTGTAGATCGTGTGGGACCACGCTTCCCAGACCTTGGCACAGTCCTCCAGCGCCCACGGTTGACTGCTTCCTGCCAGGTGATCGCCAAAATCTTCGCATGCTTCAAGGGATGTCAAGCAGCTGCCCTGGCGGAGGAGCACCCACCAGGTTGCCACCTTCAGCCAAGCAGAGCTCCAGCGCTGGAACCCCTTCATTGTGTCGCGCAGATAGATGCTTGCCCTAGTTTCATGAAACAGAACCCGACCACGAGCGAAATAGAGGTACAAAGTAAATAAACTACCTCCCTCTGGCATCATCAGTAAACACGCCCGCCCTCACAAGGCTTTTTTTTGTGGGACACTGCTTGCTGTTTTCGGCAAGATTGGCCCAAGCAGCTACATATGTTACGATAGATTTTCGGCTAACCATGCTCTATACGGTCTGTTGGATCTACTTATTGGCACACAGCGCCGCAGGTTGAGCAAAATACGAGACAGTATGAGGGTGTGAAACACTAGTACCATATGTATGTACGTAGGAAACGCTTTGTCCACCCTCCTGGTTTAGAGGTCCATACATACATGCACATGTAGTCTACGATGAAACTCCTTTACACGGACCGCATACCATGAGGAGAAAAGCATTCAACCACGCGTGGCACGTGCGTGCACGCAGGCCGTGCTTCGATGACACGCACCCCTTGTGCGATACCAAGTGACGAGTGAGTTCAAAAAATATATGCATCATCATTGTTCGTTCACTTGCGTCGTCTTGTTGTTGTTGTTGTTTCTCACATTAGCTCTATAGTCCACAAAAAATGGGGAGCCCGCGGTCTCGAAACCCGGCACATACAACGCCGCGGGGAAACAAAACAAAAATAGGGCACAAACCACTCGGAAAAAGAAAACAAAGTGATAGAAAGAAAAGAACAGGTATCGCACCGACCGTTCGAAAAAAAGAGCCCTCGGAAACCGATCAAAACAAGACAAAAAAATAAATAAAGGAGGACGCTTCCCACACCCGCCCAAAGAAAAAAGCAAAGGGTAACGTACCACCACCAGGCACTGCGCACCAGGGCATGGGAGTAACAGAGCAAACAGGACAAAGAGGCGGCAGATGGGCAGACAGCCAGACGTACAAAAACAAAGGCAACAGCAAAGCGAGATCAGGGTACCCAACACAGCAGAGTAGGCAGGGAGGTCATGAAAAAAAGAAACAGCACAGAGGCCGAAGGCAATTAAAAGGACATACATAAAGGAGTATAGCACACAGCAGGGAGAGAAACAGAGCGCAACAACATCAGTCGGGTACATAGTTCGCCACAAGTGCTGCCTCGGCCGCCCTACTCGCTTCTACAGCAGTGCCCGGTCGCCGTTTCTTCCCCCCCACCGCCGCT